CAATGTTAACACTAATTGCATTCTTATTCATTTATATACTTTGTTCTCTCTATATTTATAAATATATAAATACTTCTGCATTAGGAGTAGGTATACTGAAGTCAAAAAACATACAATAGAGTAACTATTTATCAGGGAGATCTTTATGCAGCCATACTGGTTTCTTTTGAGAGCTGTTATTTTTCTTCTTCATTGGTATTGTGCTAGACTGGGCTTTTATAATCTCACTTTTCAAAATTTCCCAAGCTTCTTGAGGATTCTCATCCATGGAATCCTTCCCAAGCTCTCTCTAAATTTATTGAAATTAGCTCTCTTAAAGTCCAAGACTCTAGTTTGACTGTGTTCTATTGCTTGTGCTTTCATAATGTTGAATTCCAATATTGCATGATCACTCTCCCCCAAGGTTCCTGTGGCTTCAACACCTTCTATCATTTCATCTCTGTTAGTGAGAATTAAATTTGTTGATTGTTACTCTTGAAAAACCTGGCTGCTCTTTCTTTATTGTGAAATTCATATAGCATTATATAGACAAGATGATGGTGATGTCCTTTAAATTGCTTTCTATAATGGCCATCTGCATATGGCAAAGTCTTTGTGTATCTAACACATACAATGAGCTATTTCTCAACTTTATTTAAAGGCCCATTTTGGAAATAATCTGATGCAGACCATGAGCATTATTAATTCTACTCAAAAATAGTTATCATAGGAACAATGTAGTGAGGTTTATTATGCACAGCAGCCTTTAGTTTTGTTTTATCTCTTGAATTGGACAGAGATGAAATTCAAACTAGGGCAAATGGTCAATAAAGAAAGTATTTGGCAAATGGAGAAACCTACATATTTCTGTTAAAATAATTTTCCTCACATAGCATCAAATTATTTCCAGTTGAGAATGCCAACTTATTTTTTATTTTGTTAGAGACACCTGTTGGCTTAATGCAATAACAACTTCATAATGTCCAAGAAACTCATGGCTTTCCATATTTTAATGTTTCAGCATAAAAAACATTATATTTTGACTCTTTATATTGTCAGCATAGGTGGATTAATCTTAAATTAGCAGCATGTATGGAAGAAAGAAAGAACCTTATCTATAAATAATATAGTCATATATTTTAAATCATGGGTGTTAAACTCATGATGTCACGTGACATGTCGCGACGTATCGCACCTTTTTCCCCATTGCCGGCAATGGGGTGGGCGTGGTTTTGGCGTGATGCATCTAGCCTGCAGGCCGGCAGTTTGACACCCCTGCTTTAAATGAAGATACGCTGTAGAATCTCAACAAAGGGAAGAAATATAGAAACATAATCTGTAATTATTTATGCACTGAAATGATGTTAATTGCATTACTTTTAATGATTTAATTTTGCTGTATTAGCTTCCTTGATTGGCAAACACAGTCAAATTTAAAGGCTAATTCTTCTGCATCCATTTTCCATCTGCATTATAGATAACAAATTGTTAATTGGCAAAGCCCTAATTCAGGCATGAAATGCAAATCAGGCAGAGACAGTGGAGGCACTAATCTGGCTCAAGTTAAGAGTTCCAAAGCAAAAAAGTTTTTGGGTGAATTCTCTATTGTAACACTCTAATTATGTTTTATACAACTACTGTATCTCTGCATGCAGACATAATGGGGAAGACTCTTGCAGTAGACCCCTTGAAACACTCCTATGCCATGAGATCACTCATAGAAAATACCAACCCAGAAACCAGAAGAGGAACGTCACAAATAATGTAACAACATTTCCCAACCCCCATAACTGACTCTCTGCTGTATGACTTTTCAACAGAATATCCCGGTCCTCATACATCAATCCAAGTGAGAAGAGGTGCATTGTTAAATCTTAACCTGACAACTGTAGGCAGCACTGGAGTCACATTCACACATCCCCTCCATATCTGTATCAAGCTTTTCAACTCTGTCCACTCAAGAAATATAGTTTGCATTAAATTCAACTTAATGTACAGGTCACCAACCTCCAGTCCCTGGCCCATTACTGAGCTGCAGCCCATTGGGAATTGGGCCACGCAAGTGGCAGGAGAGCAAGTGTGCAAAGCTCCATTTGCACAATCAGCCATCCTCTCCCCCCCCCCGCTGGTCAGTGGAACCGGAAAGGTTGGGGACTGCTGACTTAATGGATGTATAATAGTTTAAATCCTTTTAGGATTTGGAGCAAGAAAGAATTGACAGAGAAAGATTTTATTGCTGTGTCTACGATGTAATTCTATAATATATGTAAAATAAATATTAGAATAGGTTATCTTAGATAATGAGTCAAAATCTGTTAAAAATAAAAACGGGGAGTCAACAGAGGTGCACACAACACTTAGCAAACTTTGTTCCCTCAGTAATTTTTAGCTGCTTTCCTCTTCCTTCTCCCTAGAAGCTACTACCCCAATTTTGCACAAAAGGATATACCCTTTATTATCATTCAGGTTTCTGAATACTGTATATTTAGTATTTATTTAAGTACTGAAGTTCCAATTCTCCAATGATGTGTGTATGTTGAAAAGATTAGGTCTTGGTCTAGATTAGAGTCCCTCTCCTAGCAGCTAGCTACCTACCTCCTGCTCATAGAAGAATTAAGATTTTTTTCTAATTCCTTCTTCCTCAGTAGCCACCTTTATTACTTCAGTAGCCACCTTTATTGTTTCCTAATAGGACTGTATAGAGTATTTTAAAAAGTGTTATTCACATTACTGTCAGTAAAACATTTCTCTTCAACATGACTGAGAGCCAGTGTAGTATGGTGGTTATGGTAATGGACTAGTAAAGGTACCCATTTACCCCCATTTATGGGAACTCAGTGGGTGCGCTTGGGCCAGCCACCAGCCTAATCTAGAGACAAACATTAGAAAAAAATCTTGCATTTCTTTCTTTAATAGGAAAGAACCTTTGATTAAAGCAAAGGGTTCTTTACTAAGTGTGTTGGTTGCAGTCAAGTCAAGTCAGCTCTGAAATCATTGCACTCGCTGGATGCAAAATAAGGTATAGGTTTTCCCCCAGTTCATCCATCCCTCCCTCCATGACCAGTCCGTTTCCAGCCAACTGGAGTTTGTCAAGATGTTTTGAGAACTCTGAGATGTTTGGGGGTAATCTACAGTACATATTTCTCAGGGTGCCTGGCCATGGGATGCTGGATCCAGGATTCTGCTGCTCTGGTCCTTCTCACCTGTCATTTCCCCCCCTCCCGATTTCCTATCACGTACACACAAAGCTTTATTGCCCTTTCATCTTTTCCCCTTTCATCCTTCCTCCCCCTTCTTCTTTTGATGGCAGGATGGCCATGAGGCCCCAGCTGAACCAGGCAGAGCTAATAATATCATTATTTGATATTCATTTGTTATATTTATATTCCATCTTTCCTCTAGGAGTTCCAGATTGATTCACAAGACAATACTGTTACAAGGCCTAAAATGATGCTTTCATTTTCACTGTTTATTTATTATTTCATTTACAGTATATCCCACTTTTTTTCTAAATAACTCAATGGGGTGAATATACCTAATATTCCTTCCTCCTCTTATCTTCTCCACAACAACCCTATGAGTGGGTTGGCCTGAAAGAGAGTGATTAACTTCAAGTCACACAAGATGAGTAAAATTATAAAGATGAGTTAATAATAGAATCAGAATCAGAACAGATTGGTAAGAGAATGTAATATTGACAAACAGTAGGGAAACATTTTAGGGCATTTTTCTGACACCACTCTTAGAGCCTTATCTTTTATAAATGGAAATGCTTTGAATATTTAAAAAGAAATAGATAATTTTAAACACAATTTTATACTTATGTGGAACTAAGATACTTTTTCAATTACATCTATAAAGATACTTCTTCAAGTACATTGGTACAAGTACATTGGTCACGTTGGTAAATGATCTCTGGAGGGCCCGGGACAGGGGTTGTTCCTCTGTCCTTGTTCTTTTGGACCTCTCAGCGGCTTTTGATACTGTGGACCACAGTATCATGCTGCGGCGGTTGGGTGGGTTGGGAGTGGGAGGCACCGTGATGCGGTGGTTCTCCTCCTTCCTCACCGACCGTACGCAGTCTGTATT